TCGCTATGTACTTTCGGCATCTAATATGTAGATGATCTAAGTGTTTACACTTTCGACTACGTGTTTATTTCGTTCAGGTCCATTTGAAGCGAAAAATTGGAAATTTTTCCTATAAATGTGGCACCGGTTTTATTCTGCGCAAGATTAGTGTTTTTAGAGCAGTCGACGAAAACACAGACTCTACAATTAAAAGGCACCCGAAAAATAACCACACGGGTCAAAAGTCAGGCGCAGCCAAAACTGAAAATTAATTATTCTCTGGCTCATACATGTCTTCCGTCAGTCAGGCACTGCCTCGAACAAAATCTGCTCCTTTCAGCCGAAAAATGCCTGAACATGAAAGTTGCGTACGCTATTCACAGAAGAGACCTGTTCGCTCTTTCAGACAGTCAATCGATTTTTGTCCAGTCCTCTGCAGTAAAAACTCTGAATTAGTCAGTCAGGTGTTCATTCCCGACAAACTTCGCACTCCATGATCTGTCTGATAGTCCAGAGTAATCACGACCGAAGTTTAGTGATATTGGAAGAGTATGGTTGGCTGCAGAAGGTCTAAGTAAGCTCGAACCGGCTGCTGTTCGTCCTCACTCCTCCGTATTTACTGGACATTGATGAACTGTTCGCGTCGCAGTCAGTCAGAAGGTTGTTAATACACCATCTTTAATATAAGGCGTAATACATATTTTGTCATTGGAAACAAAATTGTCAGTTCTGTCACTTAATGTGGGAGATTTACACACGGCTTACGACTGTTTAGTCAAGTATATCAACTTGCTTTAGCTTTCCAGCCCTGTGCTTCTTATGCGTGGATGACAAACTAATTGTCATGGCACATTACGATTTCGTTTTTCGTAACGGCTAACCAGAGTAGTTAGTTTTCTTCCTTTATTGTTGCTTGCTTTCCTGTTTGCAGAGTCTTTATTTGATCCTGACAAGGCCTCGTGACGAAATGTTTTGACTATCTCAACGTGCACTTTTATCTTACGTATTTTACCACAAAAAAATCTTTTTAGGGACCCGAAAACGACCTGAGTTTTCCACATCCTCACAAAAACCTGGCACCTATCCACTGCAACACCAGTAGTCTGAGACCGCTTTATTCCTCTCGTTGATCATAAAACCGACTTTAAAACCTGTCTTCTCAACAACCAAATTATTTCTCTGGAGTTTCCGTTAATCCACAGCCCCGCGGTAACGTCCTTCATTTTCAGACAAAACTTACATATTTGGTGTATCAATTCTTGGTGAATGAGGTAACAGGGTTTATAAACTCCTCGCAGTATGTCAGTTAACAAACAGTTCAGCAGTTTTTGACCGCCGTCTCTTGGCTTCCATGTTAACCCTAATTACAGACCAACTTTCACTCTGTTTAGCTGAAAGGCTAATGAAACCTGTTCGCTAAACGAAATGGATGCCCAGTATAATCACCGAGAGGAGAATGCAAATCGAGAGGGCTACAAAGAGGCCGACTGCGATTTTACAGCCGAGGTCAGATTTGTGTGCCTCTGATAACTGACTGTTAGAAATCGATGGCGTTGCCATGGGCCCTTCCTCTGCATGGTCCACGATATCGTAGGTTGTAGAGTTGGAGCGGATCACCATGGAATCCAAAAGATGCATTGCCATTGCTTGAGAGCGATTCTCGCATACCGGAAGGGAGAAGAGTGAGTGAGATCGTCTGTTGGTTGGTGGAAAGTCAGGACTGTTGAATGTCCGAGAGTTTCTTGTGGTAGGACCCTCAAAACGACGGTATTCGGGCATCGCGCATGTAGCTGAGCATGTTTCCATATTTTCCGACATTATTTTGGGCAAGGAATTGCCCTTTGGAATGAAAAGGAATTTGGAGGTAATTCTTGGCACTTGGGTAGGTTCCACCTTTGTAGAGCACTAGGAGGAAAAAAATTTTAACACTTTATTAATGCGGGAGAAAGAGCATTCTATCTCTGCTTCAATTTGGAGGATGGGTCCGCTTCTCAAATCCATCCTCCAGACGTTAGCCATGTTTTGATTCTACAATGTTTATTTTGAATCTATATAATACGTTAGGAAGTAGACGAAAGTGACTCACATATAAGAAATTATTGGATACTTTGATCCCCATCACACATAAAAATTTACTAAAGGGACATCGGAGCACAAATAAACAAGCCATATATTTTGAATATCTTGACAAGGAGGTTGAAAATTTGGGAACTTTAATCATTACTACCTAACCATAGACACTTTTTCATACGTTTCCGAAATTTGTCTTTTGTTGGTTATATGTTCCAGTTTGAGCTGACGAAAATTTTCCTATGCATATAAATACAGAAAACTTTGTAGCAGGTGAGGAGTACGCAGAGGATGTTTCCGATGTTCCCTCTGGGCAGTAAGTGTGGTGAGTTCCCGGCAGCAGACGGGTCTGCGAGATTGAGGTCGGATGATCGAATCACAAGTTGGATGTGGTATAGGCCCGCGTGATAGGAAGGGCCCATTGCTTTCTGGGGATCCATGATAACCGGAAAACCGTTATTTACTAAAAAAATATTTCTTCTATTCATGAAGGTGACACTACGGCTACTGAGTCAAGATTACACACAAGTTAATGAATAAAAAAATGAGTGACATCCCAACGGCATGGCTACACGCACGCATGATTGCTGAGGCTTGAAAGTGCGTTCTATCACCGGAAACGGCCCGCCAACTAATTCACCCGTAAGGGGAGCACGGGTCCAAATGAGCCCCTTGGAGGTGATGACACACAACGCAGGAGGCCGCCAGCATTCACAAACAACGGTCAGAAGGCCAAGGAAGCGAAAGGGAAAAATCTATCAGCCCAGGGCCAACTAATTTGGCCATTTATTCAAAATTCTGGTCAATTTTATGTACAAAACGTTTGGATACTGGCGAGTCAGCCAAACCCTCGGAAACGTCAGCCACACAATTCCCCTGATCCGGTGAGTCCTTCACATTTCTCGGAGTATCTACCCGGATATCTTACGCTTGTTTACATGGATATCTACAAGTAGATTGTGTCAGACCGCAGTCGGGGGGAGATATGTTACACCGACTGACAAATGTTAATAAAATGGGACGGCAGTTCACCTTATGGACTGTGAGGAAACTATTTGGGAAGGACAGCACATGTGTATTCAGAATGTTCAAAATGAACTGCAAACAAAAAAAAACTAGTTGTAGTTGTGCGCGATGAAGACCTCGTGTGCGACAACACGCGAAATGCAGACAAAGCGGAAGACGAAGCAGATTGACTCTGATTTTCCCGTCGCTTAGCGGGATCGGGAAGGTGTAGGCTTTGAGGTAGGGCTGTTACCTGCTTCCTCCAGTTCTCTAGACGTTGGAATGGGAAATAAGGAAACTCGAGTGTAATCCATCAGACTGACTACTGTTGACCTATCCTGATGAAGTTTTCCGTCTGGTTTTAGAGCTGAGGTCTACAGCCTACAAGGACGTACTTATAGCATTTAACAGCCATAAAGATATGGATGCCGAAGTGACTACTTTTAATTTAGTTGTCGCCATCGACCGGTCAAACGCCAACCTCAGTATAGGATCTCAGTCAAATGAAAGGGAAAAACACTCACAGTCTACCCCGTCTTTGTCAGTAAGTCTTTGGATGAGCCATCAGTCGTCACTATGTGACGTAATGTCCGCTACCACGCTGCACACTCGGTGAACTCTGCTCCGAAAGAACATGAGCATAAAAATAGCAAACCCTCATCATGTTGTACTGATTTTGAACACTGTTCTCTGCCAAGGTCACTGCTGGGCTATGACAGCCGTGCTTTTCCAGTAATCAAACAACGTGCAAAGTTATCGTCGTCAAACAAGAGGACTTTAGGACTCGGTAGGTCTGAAATCCTTTTTGCAATTCCACGCAGTGTCGGCCCAGTACTGAATATCTAAACTCCATTTTGATTTGGGCATGCATCCATCGTACCTCGGGATCACTTAATTTACCATCTAGAGACCAACTGACTAGTCAAAGATTTTCATAGTCACTCTGCTGTTGAACGTCTCCAGGAGTCTTCGTAAATTTTGCAAACCGTCTCATTCAAAGTTATTAAGTTGGGAGGATAAAACCAGCAGTCCGCTTACTGGATGGTGATCTCTCCGATTGGTGTTTTGTTTCTTATTGTCCTTGGATTAAAACTCGAACGAAATATAAGAAAGGGAAGCATCACAAGGCGCCGAATTGATGGGATATATAGGAACAGTAAATAAATTTAATTCGCATGTTTTTAGTCGGAGGCATATCTTAATACGAACCGGATTTCTCGACAATCACGTCATTCAGGGACAGATACAACAACGATGGGCAGCCTCCTCGTGAAGATGGACCACGAACGACTACTGTCGCTACGGGTGGTTGCCGAAAAGACGGAGAATAGCGACGCTACAAGGACAGCCTGTGGACCTCTCTCAAGGATTTACGAAACGATTCGACGCTCTGGGATGACCTCGTACAAGACCTCAGACCTAGAGCAGGGCAGTGAAGACTGGAGCAGCAATTTACAAAGCCACTTGGATCTCCGCTGCTAAAGACAAAAGAGTGACTCGCAAGTCTCAAGCGCCTCTGATCCACAACGCTAACGCCCAGGCCCTGTCAGAATTCCCACGCTGTCAGCTAACAGTTCGAGCGCGAATGGGCTTCAATGGACATCTCCGGAACTAATTGGACAGCGACCCGACAACTCCAATTCTTGCCACCACAAATGCCTCCATCGTCACTTCAGTACCTATTCTCACGACGACGACAACCAACGCCACCGTTTATTTTTTCCCTGATGCCCCGGCGTTTTAGCCGACATCGTTGACCCTGCCATTTCTGTCATCCCTTCCACGACGACAACTAACCTTACCTCCTGTGAAACTACTACCGACGTCTCGGTAACCATTACCCTCACCGCCAGAGTCTACAGGATCAACAATATGGAATCGATCCCAACCTGTCTCCCACTGCGATGAACCTTTATCTTACGCATTGGCCGGGTCGATCAATTGCGAACGCATCTCACTGACACCAACAGAACAGTGCCAGGAGTCCTGACATATACTCATCGTATCCACCTTCACTGCCCGCATTGTCCACGCACATTCACTCACCGGGTGGACTTATTAAGCCAAATGTGCACATGCGACAGTGGAATTCATCACAATATCGACACGCTCAGAACACCTTGAACATGTGACAACTCTCCCATCTTTCGCATTACTGACTCCCAATCCATCAGCGTCGCCAACGCTAACAGAATCACCGCCGTAAACGACTCAGCATCTCCCAACCAATCCTGCCTATATTGTCACCATACATGTACATCACACGTCAGTTTGGTCGGCCACTTACAAATCCGTCGCACAAAGACTGACGAACCAGTGTCTGGAGCACCAACATACACCTTAATTATCTACCTTAACTCTCCACGCTGTCCAAACACATTGAGTTAGTGCACTGGCCTTCTCGGTCATATGTGCAAAAATAAAAACCTGCGGTAAAACACCACCGGTCAAACCAGTCACTGGATTTCTCCTCATCAGCACATACTCCACAAGTAAATTCGTTCTTCCTCACCCATCACAAACACGGAATCGGCACCTTCCAAGCATGTAGGAATCGTGTTCTTTGGCTCCTCCTCCACGTGGCTTCCATGCACTCTAAAGCATCTGAGGTCCAGGGGTATATCGGACATGTTATGAAAGACAACTTGTAGAACAGGCCTCTTCCTATCTATCGAGACTTGGATATTTATCCCTCCGCAACCGACTAGGAGCATTTGTTAAGGAAACCAGACTACTGCACCATCTGGAAAGAGGAGAACTCACAGAACATGTTTAAAAATAGCAAAAATAATTACCCATTCCATTCTCAGTAGGATAGTTCTGGCGCAAATCGAGGAGACGCCTAGTGTACTTTTAAGACAGAGCACTAAGCTTATGTACTTTTTGGCGTCCTCTTCAGGCTTTTTTAGTAAAATTACACTGAATTTATTCATTTATTACATGTAGTGAGATAGTGGTTTCAAGTGTTTCCACATTGTTGTGCCTGCAAAAAGCCTTAAATTAGTTGTTCCATAGGAAATGGATAGTTATGAAAACACATAATTGAAGTTAATGCCGATACAGACGTAATGTTACTGAATGCCTTGAGAAGGAAATGATTGTTGGCATGTACCAATATTACTGATAATTATATCAAGGATCTAAAGTAAATTCTTGCATTGAAAAATGCTTGATTTCAAGGAAGCCACTCCACTCTTAAATATTTATAAACGATTTGCATTTCTTCTAGGTAAATCGATTGGTCTAGGGAATTATGTTTCTCTTTCTTTAGATTTTAAACTATAACATAATTTCTAAGCCAAGCCATTCAAATTCTAAAGCATGTGGAAATAAAAACGAAGTGATTCCGACAGCTTTTTAATCTTCCTGCAGTTTTACAAACACGGATACCCGCATCCCAAAAGGGCATTTTCAGATCTCAAAATAAGAAGCAATAATTTCCGTGGCACTAAACCTCACCGTATGCCATTGAAGTGTCATCGTTAATTATGCTGGCACTCTGATAATGATGTTAAAATGTGCGTTTAGGAACAAGAAGCAGTGAAGAAGTCACTCTACCAGTTCGTGTTTTAATGACTTGGAATGGTATGATGGGTGGAACGAAGCCTTCGTTGCATACTATGAAAAGATCGCACATTCGGTCGGAAATTGATTATCCAGCTATTCCAATGTGCCGGTCGCCGCATATACGGCCACTGGCTTCATCTTTTGCTAGCATTGTTAATGGGTTTTATTCGCATGGCATAAGGAATCGGTAATCTTCCAGCTTATTACTGGCCTTCTGAAACTAATCGACTGCGCAAAATCTGGCATTAGCAGTCTTTCAGTGCGTGGGCAAGAAATATCTCGGTTTTCCAGTGATATCTTCATTGAGGCATGGTGACTTGCCGATCGATGATCGTAAGACGCCCTGCTCTTAAAGGGAAGGCCGTGTTGTGGCAGATGTTCGATAGTTTAACGTGTGTGAAAGCGAATTACTTAGGCTTGCATTTTTACAGAAGTGCTGCACACATTGATGACCCTTTTAAAACTGAAAACGTTGTAACTCCCTCAAGAAAACAACGACAGCCGACTGATTTGTAGATTTATAGAAGCCAATTTTTTTCTGAATATTTTCACCCTATAAGTATTTGGACCTTCTCATTTAGCAAGCATTACGCACAATGTGTTAATGAGACCGGAATTCGCAGATGAATACGTCTGCGGCCACTTTTTGGTCAACGGTCTCCGATATGTGTATTAAATAAAACAAGAAGTGCTTTGTTTAATGAACTAGCGGGCATTGTTTTGCTTCCGGAACAGAGCGTGCATTTCGTCCGGCATTTCGAAACATATCAATCATGCGTCCGTATCAATTTCTCCTATGTTAATTAAATCAAATTTCGCAAACTTTACAAACAAATTTCAAGACATTGTTATATCAATTTCATTGAATGAACTCATTTTAGTGTTAAAAATTATAAATAGGAGCACAGAAAATTGCCAGGAAGATCGAGTTGAGCGAAGACAGCTCGCGACCCGCGCTGGCTCTTTAAAGCTTTACGCGGCCCGTTGACAATGAACTGGCGCTCTCTGACGTGCCAGTCGAAATGAAATAGCCACTGTGAACAATCTACGCTTCCATATGAAACAGTCATTTTGTGAAAGTATCCATGATACTATATTAGGTGATCCTCAGGCACTTCACGTTAACTTCTAGGCAAATTATCTTTCCAGGCCCGTGCCCACTTCTCATTCTCCACTTACGGCAGCACGCATTACGCTGACGATAGTCATTTAAAATAAAAATCAACTACTAACTGAAATCAGTAGGGTATTTTGTTGGTATAAATGATTCACCAACAAAATAAGACGGCCTGCGCATTTGTTAGTTTTCTTGGTACCAGAGTAGTTTCACACCTTTAATCAGTGCCTATCGGAGATCGGATAAACAGACTAAGTGGCATTGATTGCCTTAGACTAACAATTAGCTTTTCTAGTTATACGAAAGGCTACGAGATCTGCATGACAAAACAAACGCCTGCGTTTCGTTCTATAGTGGAACTCGAATATTATGCGCAACCCCCTATACCTTCACTATTTCCAATCGTAGTTGACAGAGTGCGAGAGCCAGGCCCAACTGTTAGATTTATTGAATTCGAATCTTCACCGAAGTCAGCAAATAAGGTAAGAAGGGCCTTTCCAGCCTCACTTCGTATTTGCCGGCAATAGGTTATGACGGCTGATCCTTCATCGAAATGCGACCGTATGTTAGATTTCTAGGGCAAAATTTTTAGTTTAAGCAGAGTGCCTGCATTCTGTCCAATGAGCTGTATCAGACGCTCACGCGGGATACTTACAGTCGCACCTTCGTGCACGCCTAGCAGAATTTCGATCTCAATCGGAACGAATTGTATTTTAAAAGAAGACGAAGGCACGATCACTGGGGTGGCAGATTTATTGGACTTCGCTTTCGAACTCGAACTGGAGGTCATCATCAGAGACTGCTAGAGTGCAGCAACGTATGAACATTTACATCGTTTTGCCGTGAGGGGGGATCACGTCCGTGGCTAGGTCTGGTTTTTGCTGCCTGGCCCACAATGGTCCCTCGGCGTGGTGGCGCCGTTTGTACCTCGCGGCGATGTGAGCTGCGTCACGTGGCTGCGTGGGCGGAGCGCGTGATAAAACGCAGGCAAAGCAACGTGGCTATTGCTAAAGTTGGTGTCCGATACCCACGCCTCCAAAAGTTCTCGCCCTGTCTTGTTGCCGGCTCGCGCTAATACCAGCGTGTTGGCGAAGTCGAACTCATTGCCTTCCTCCAGCGTGTGAGTGGCAACTTGCGATAGTGGGTCGTCTCCCCGAACGGCCCGTTTGTGCCCAAGTATTCGTGAGCTGAGATGTCGTCCTGTTTGGTCTGTGCAGTGACAAGGACAGTTATGGCACGGGATTTGATAGACTACGTCCGACTGCTCACCTGCGTCCAGCCGATCCTTCATTTTCATAATCCTGCTGCGCATGGTAGCCACCGGATGATGAGAGATACCCACGCCTAAGTCTGACGCGGTCCGTTCTGTGGCCTCGGACACATTCTTTATGTACGGTAGGGAGTGCCAAATTGTTTGTGTCTCTCTTCCGTTTGTCCGTCTTAGGTGCGTGCGTATCCAGCGGCTGATGAAACAATTTGAGTAGCCGTTCTTTGTTAATTAGTCCCTGAGATGCCGTAGTTCTTGCATGGGAAAATTCGTGAGAAACGGACTGAACGGTGAGCCCATCGATATGCCGTCTATTTGTCTGTATAGTTGGCCACTGTAGAGAAACAAAGCCTTCTGTGTGCAGCGCGACAGCATCCAGAACAGTTAGTATCTCGCGATCTCTCCGCGCAGTTAATTACTCTAACCAGGCAAAGTCTCAGCCCAGCATACGTAAGTGAGAGGTCATTACGCTTGTCAGCCGACTGCAGGCCGGAGAACCGTGACTCAATCATATCGCAGCTCGAGCGGTTGATAGTCCTTGCGGAAATGTCGGCTTCCTCATACGTGTAAGTGTCACCATTTTTCGTCGAATTAGCCGCAACCTGAGAAATAGCATTCTTTCTCCACACTGCTGCTGAATGTGCCGCCATACGCATGCGGAGTAATCGCCCAGTTTCTCCGGCAAAGTTGCTTTGTCAACGACAACAACACCAGATCCAGTAAATGACTGCATTTGTCTCCTTCCATGGCAATGGGTCTTTCGGCCTTACAACTTTACGCCTAATATTCGACTCTGATCTGTATTAAAGTCAAAATTAAAGTTACGTCTGTACATGCATCGGCTGGCGAAGCTGTATGGATAATCACTAGCGTTAAGCATCCGTCGAAGATATTGTCATTAAACAACCTTGTCTTCTGGTTCGCTACAATGACTTCTGACACGCCCTTACGCAGCTCCGTTTGTAGCTGATTAGGTGGCTACTGTTGTAACTCAGTAATTGCCTCGTGTGTGTTGTTTTCCTAACTAGTTTGGTTTTCAGGCCATTACCAACTTTGCGGAAGACGGGGATAGTAAGGAAGGCCAGCAGGTTGTTTTCTTCACTTTCCTTCGTGAATCGTTTGTCCGGGAAGACGGCGATAAGACGTTTAATTGAATTCTAGTACCTTATCCCTCTCGACGACGTCGAGGCCACCATCCGCAAAGCAAGTCTAGGATGTCGGCTTGTGGTGTTGGTAAACCAGTAGCTCCAATCGTTGCAAGACCGCTTCAACCATAAGTTCCGGCATCAGCAAACATATTGATGTGCGCTTCACCTACTCGTAGATCGTTCCATCGAGCTTCATCGTATTTGTTTTTAGGCGGAATCCAGAGTCGAAGATTACTCCACATGGACACTTTCAAACGAAATGGAGGAAACATTACGCTGCGTAACGCTTTCCTTAGAATCTCGCTTTAATTTGAGATGATGCAGCTTGTGATGTCTCAGCTTTTTTAAACCTTCGAAAGTCAACACGTGCTTTAGCCATCTTATAACACGTTTAAATATAACGTTAATTTCTATCCTACTTTTTGAGAATACATATGGACGAAAATCGAGGTTCTGTAACGGCCGAAAGGACGTTATCAAACAAAATACGTAAATTTTTGGACCGAACGTTCTATGTTAGTCAGTTGTTTTTATCTTTCTCCTCCGCCTATTCAAAAAGCTCGCATTCGCCTGACCGGCCAATGCTGATGTCTACTTAGACTCTCAGAATCAAAGTTTTCTGTTTACTAAAAGGCGAGCATTTTTTCTGCAAAAAAGCTTAGTGTCATCGTCACATGCACTCTCTTCAGTATAAGGAGAGGGTAATTTAGGTGCCTTTTAAAAACGGACGAGTTCTAACATCTACCCCACCTGGTGGTGTCTCCACCTCTACTTGAGTTCTCTTCCTACTGGCTGGCATCTGAATTATGGCATCTCATTGTTCTGTATTTAAGTGAATCGAAATTATTTGAGATTTCACATACTGTCAGATCATTCGCATCCTTAGATGACTTCGAAATTCTTATTTAAAATCATCTAACTCTTCAAAAGCTTGCTAAACAATATGCTATGGATGTTATCGCGCTGCTTTCTTCAGGTTTGTTCGCACACCCAAAAAAGAACGCTATTTTTGTCATTGCCCTCGTGATCCACTCTGCGTTCAGAGGCTCAGGCGATTACACTTTTGCTTTTTATGCAGTTCTTTGAGAATTTCTTAAGAAGAGGTCCAGCTTTCGACTCTTGAACTACCGTTATTCCGAGTTACAGTCAGTAACTAATGTCAATAATGGTTGACCGAAATTCCGGAATTCAAAATCGATTAGGTAGGATTGTTTAAGTTGGGTTAAAATATTGACCACCTTGCGACATAATGCCGTGATATTTCAGATATGCCAGGATGTTAGAACTTGAATGGATTGTTCAGCCTCCTGCAATAACCGCACACGACAAAAATGACTACTTACGTAGTACGTATTTCTCTAGAGTATTTCGACAGCCTTAAGAATAATGTGTATTTTGCAGAAAACGTGCATAAGAATAATTTATCTTGCATTTATTTGACAGCAAATCATGTCTTGTGAAAATTTTATAGCCCGAAGGACATCTTATAATAAGAAATATTTTAAATCAAAAGACGCCTTTCCTTCGAGTATAAATTTTGAAGAAGACCTGTTTTTAATTGAAGCGGTACAAGATATAATATTTTATGCCTGTTATCCACAAAAAATATTTGAACTTACAAGAGTATCTAAATTTAAAAGTGTATATCACTAAAGCCGCCATTTTTGCCGAGTACGGTTGTTACAAGGTCATTTGGGCAGAGTGGCATTATCGGTAAAGACAGAGGAGAACGGAATGGCAATTTCTGACTTATTAGCCCTCGTCAGCCAGCCATACCCAACCCGGAGATGCGCAAAACCTGGAGCTTGGTCCGCAGCCTGTTGTTTAGAAGTCTAACGCCCTAACCACTGAGCAGCGGGCTAGTTTTCCTGCCGGTTAAGGACGTTGGACTTCCAACAAAAAGGCCTTGGGATCGAGCCTCAGGTGTTCCACACCTCGAGGCTGGATATGACTGGCTGATGACGGCTAATAAGCCAGAAACGGCCATTCCAATCTCCCTTGTCTTTGTCGGGAATGCTTTTCTGCCTATATCCCTCACCGCTGTCCGGCTGTTGGCGGGACTCGAGCGAGAGCCCAAAGACACAACGGGACCATTGCGTTAAGTAGAGCGATCGGCAAGCGCCTTTCTGTCATAGAAGTGCATTTAACTGCCAACATCCTGCCGTATCTGAGATATGATGGCATTCTGCTGCAAGGCAGTCAATAGCACAACTTCACTTAAATGATCGTTCCTAATCGAATGCGCACAGTTCATGAGATCGGTCGTTGACTGTAGCTGACAAGTCGACTCCGTCACCCCTTGCTGCCACGTGATGACCAAATCGGGAGGGGATATGCTCAGTCACTTGACGAAGCCATCTGAACAAAAAGAAGCAATGGACTAGAAGTAGCGAAAAAGGCGACTTCTCGGCAGCCTCAAATTTGGACGGCTGCCTGGAGTGATCACTGGTGGACGCAGGCGTGTCAGAAAACTGAATTTATGGATCGACCAATTGGTTTGAATTTGAACTGGCGAAAGGGAAAACACTAGGCGGCAACTGACGAACCCTATTGAGCGGACACACGGCGTAATGGCGCAGAAGTTGGGACGCAGTTCAGAGCTACATAGTAAATGTTCCGTTTGTTACCACTCTTCCTCTCTAATGTTCAGAGAGATACGCTTGCATTGGAAACAACTAGTGTCTTTGAGTCCAACCAGAATTGCCACACCCATACTGCCCTGAGCTTTAGTCAGTAAACACCTGAAAAATTTGTGCCGTATGAGATTCTGATGCCTATGTTGTCGAGGAGGACTAAAGTATTGCTCTCGTTAAGGTGCCTACACAAATCAGTGCAACTAGACAACCATCCAACTCGAAACTCACAGAAGGGGCCACATGTGGCAAAGATCTGTCAGAAAGAAAATCGGGTTACCTAAAAGGACTTTATAAATCTAATGGGCTCCCAGCTAACCTTATTGAATTTCTCTTAAGTTTGAGGACCAGAGGCCAGAACATAGGGTGGAAGCCCGGGGAGAAGGTCGACAGTTCCCCATATTTCGTTATATGAACTTAATATTCACTGTCATATTTCACGAACAAAGAGGCATAGGCATCCGCCGATACGGGCGACAACTTTCTTCTCTGTTCCAGCAATATCATGACCCCGTGGCTTCCCATAAGGGGATAAATGCGCAATGCAGTCAACGGCATAAGTTATGGGCTTCTTATACGCGTAAGTAAGCTATACAGGCCAAAGAGTTGAGACTCCCCACAATGAGTGTAAACTTGTAAACAGAAACGAATATATTCCCTGGCTTTATGAACTCTCCTGAATTTGTAAAACAGTTATCGGGAATACTAATCGAGAGCTAATTACTACAGTGACGTGTGCTAGAGTTTTGAATTGGCATCTTTCGGGACTGCACATATTACTTCTACATAAGTAAAAATCCAACTAATGTGGATTTTCCCTAAAAGAATCCCGATGCTTACACACTTTGAAAACAAGGCAAAGGCAACAAAACGTTCCTTGTTCAAATTTGTTCAATGCCCAACAGTTTTCAGTGTAAACAAAACAAAAGCCTTTTTATTTTGTCTACTCTGTCTAATCTAGCTTCCCCTTCAAATATTGTTCGCGAGAGATGCAGCAATTTGGGGTTTTTTCGTGAGAGTTTTGGAGATGCTCATATAACACCCGTTGCAATATATCGCATTTGGGTTTGTCGACACAATGTATAATCTTTGCATGTTTAACATCCGATATGGTATTAGATAAGCGGATGCATGACGTCTTCTAGTAAAATACAGTCGTGTGCATTTGCTTCATGGAATGCATACATCGTATGTAGTTTGAAAAGTTTGAAATGGCTGAAGGGCGCTCACCGATGGTTCTAACGGAACGCACTCATCCCGAGGTGCTTTAGGAGCTCTCTCTCTCTCGAACCCAACCAGCCGCCGCACAACGGCGCATGATATAGGCAGAATTTTAGTACCGACAAAGACAAGGGAGACTGGAGTGGAGATTTTTGGCTTATTAGCCGTCGTCAGCCAGTCATACCCAATCCCGAAATGTGGAACACTCGGGACACGATCCCGCGACCTGCTAGTTAGAAGTCCAACGCCTCTAACCACTAAGCCACGGGCTCGTTTTCCTGTGCGTTTCTATCGGGAATGTATGATGGTGGAGGGGCGCTCACCGATCGTTCTTACGGAACACACTTTGCCTATATCATGCGCCGCCGTGTGACTGCTGGTTGCGCTCGAGAGAGAGCCCGTAAGGCACAACAGGACAAGTGTGTTCCGTAAGAACGATGGGTGAGCGCCCCTTCACCATTGCACATTCCTGATCGAAACCGACAGCACAACGGGCCCGTGGCTCAGTGGTTAGCGGCGTTGGACTTCTAACGGTCGCGGGATCGTGCTCCTAGTGTTCCACACTTCGGGGTTGGGTGTGACTGGCTGACCACGGCCAATAAGCCAGAACGTTTGGGAGCCAACGAAAACTCAGGTCATATATAAAATATGAAAGGATTCGTTAACATTGTAAAACAGGAAAATTTTCTCCCTTCAAGAACGAGCTTCAAATCAGATGAGCTTTTCTATAACAGTGAGTAGAGAAATAAATCAGCCGTTCATCCCTTCCATAAATTAGCGTTTAACTTGTATGAGCTTTAGAAATCAATCCAAGGAGTGTGCGTTACAAGACGTGGTTTCTTTCCAGAATATAATGTATATAAGGGGTTGGAAAGATGTTCATTAGGTAACCGTTGTGGAACTTCTGTGAGTTGTGCCAAGATCTTGTTTCTGGTTATTCAACTTTACTACCCTACTCCAGCAATTCCCTCCATTTGTAACCCCGTTAAAATATTAATAATTTTAGCCTGAAATCCAGCGCCAGATATGCCATAGCAGGACCGCAATATTCCTCTTTGACAAGTTTGCCTGTCATACTGCGAAAACACCCCGGTTTTCTTTTTTACGCCTGGTAATAGCTCCATGTGACCTTCTAAGAGAAGATATAAACTGCTTTCAATAGTTCATTTTCGTTAGCCACCGCTCTCCCTTCTTTTAGTATGCTAGCGCGCATCCGGCACTAGTAAAATACAGTTCTTCTATACGTATTCATTATTCTGCAATGACCTTTCTGTACTTATTATCCGGTTCAACAAGGGCTGATTTGATTACCTATGTGAGAAAACAGTAAGTGTACACCACACACACACCCGTTTGATATCTTAACTCCTCTTTTGGTAAATATACAGTTACCAGCTGCACTGTTCACGAGACTAAAAATACCAACAGCCGTCCTTCTTCACTGTGCACTTCAAACGAAATCCGAGCGGCAAAACTGCCATCACAGTTCGCAGGATATCCACCAGTACCGCGCAGTCTACGAGCACTCACCGAAACGACCCTATGGCAGAACTGCATGAGGTCACATCCGACGTATACACCCAGAAGACCAAGCACACGGGTCACAGCAGCTACAGTAGGTGGGCTAACTCATGAAATGTAGACAGAAATTCCCAAATGCGTTTCGTTTCGAAAATATGAATTAAGTAGGTTAGTAAAACCAGTCATCATGTGGCATAAATCTATAAAGATTCAGTTAACCTAGGACGCCGGCTTTCGAATGAACTTCTTTCCAGACGCATTAAAAACTATACTCTTTAAAAATTGCTATTTAAGTAGCAGCATTTTTTCATTAATTTTCAATTCAATTAAAGATTTAGTTATATTTCATGGAAAACATACAAGGAATATTTATTTTGCTCATTCGGTAGAAAATCACGTCTTCCTTCAATTTTACACTCGAAAGAAGGGTGTAATTTGGTTTTACGAAGTTTCTAATTGTGGGATTTTTTCAATACCGTGAAATGGCCCTTCATAAAACGTCATGTCTATGTATTTAACAATGTGGCTCAAATCCGCTGCGTAATTTTACGAACCCTATATGGTCTCCTCCTAATGCCGAATAAAAATGGTTTCCCGTACGCACAAAATATACGGCTTGTATTTTGTGAACCCTGAATGCAAGTGTAACGGCTGGTCGTGTTCAAAATTATTAGGGAATAGGAAAATTTTAATAAAACCAAATTATTCTCTTCCTTCGATTGTAAAATTGAAGAAAGACTAATTTCTATCAAATGAGAAAAAGAATGAATATTTTCATGCATGTTTTTCATGAAATATGATTAGATATTTAAGGGCACCGAAAACCAAAGAAAAAATGCATGCTACTAAAGTAGTCATTTTTAGATGTAGCCGGAAAGACCTTTGTTCGAAAGCCGGCGTCCTGGGGTGAATTACGTATTAGAAAATTATGCTGCAAGATGATTGGTTTTACAACCTTACTTGATCAATCTTTTCGAAACGAAAACGGATTTCGGAATTTATGTTTAGATTTCATGAGTTAGCCCACATACTGTATGCTACTAAGTTGTACGGAACTGCTATCAAAAGGCCTAGCTTCCAGCCCCTGTGGGTACAGCGAGAAGAACAACTGAATATGTGATCGGCATGCCATGCCTTAAGCAGAGACTGGTTTGAGGGCGAGTGAACATATTGCCACTAAAAGCAGTATTGGGATTTCTCACCAGTCCTTAGTCATCATACGCATTATGGACTGGCATGGCCAATTAAATGTCTGATCAGTCATCTGGTATGGTGTATCGAGTTTAGAAGCTGGACTTCGTTTCGACTATGGATTCTAAATCGAACGAATGCTGCCCACAGACGGAGCGGAACCGACTACTTTAACGGTGGATAAATAAATTCAAAATTTTGAACATGCCCCTGCGACACATTAGGCTTTAACATTCGCGGACTCAGAGATGCGTCTTCAGTTTACAAAAAAATAGGTAGTGGGGGAGGGAATAAAATCGGGAACTCCGGCTGCAATGCTCTGTCAGCAGGCAAAATGAATCCCCGTCCACAAAGTAAGCTCATAAGTTGTCTTCGTCAGACTGGCAGCAGCCATTCTTGGTTGAGTTGAAAAACGGATAAATTCCTTCCTGCGTATTACTTTTTCACCCAGAAAATGAACCACTGGGCAAGTTCGGAGGCTAAGACAAACAAATGTATAATTCTGATGTTCGACTAGAGTCCACGATCCGGAATGAAATCCCAGGTAAGACTAAGCCTTAGGGAAGGAAAGCTTCCAGTGAAGTAGAATGCAGCTCATTTTTGCGCAAGTTGGGATTTCAAAATTTTTCACTGAGATAAAAAGTATTTTATCATTCGCGTATTCATAGAAGCATGTTTTGGGTCAATTGCTAAGAGGCTCTTATTTCAAAATAGTTTTCTGACACCTCGTATTCCAAACTTCCTTTAAATCATGCTCGTTTCAACATTATCACCGAGAAAGAGTAAAGTCATCCAACGGACTGCTTTAAATGTCGCGGAATTCTTCCAAAATCAGAAAATTCGAAAAGACTTTTGGCACTTGACGTCGTCGACACTTTCAGTAGTGTGCACACAGGGTCACACTTGAAACTGTCATGAAACACACGGGACCAGTTCGATCGCCGATGTTCACCGGCATCCCACAACAGGGTGCGCACAGAGACAGTGACCTGCACGCATATTAGTTTACAGTAGTAGTAAACTTGCGCTGCATCCACCGCCCCCTCTCCTCGCCCACCCGCCTAAGCCCGGTGTCAAAACAGAGTGAAGACCGGAAGCGGGATCGGGCGCGGTGTCCGACAAAGTTGGACAACCCGTCTGTGATTGCCACACCCACCTGATCAGAGCATGATGGATCAGGTCTTCGATTAGACAGAGGTAATGCATCCAGCAAACATGTGGAGGTCGATGGTTAAGGCCCACTCCCAATAAATCGCCTTTGGTTCTGTGAATGTTCTCCCGTCCTACGTGTTACCAAAATACTTTGTCACTACTACATGAAGTCCGTATATGCACGGAGGACGTTTTAATTCGAGTTCTCAACCTCAAATGTGGAATTTGTCGCAGGTGGACTTGCATTCCTGCATAAGTCACTGGCCGAAAACTGAAGTTCTGAAAAATCGTTTTGCTTGCGATATACACATCATTCATACCGACCCAACTGTGAAAAAACTCGGCGCCTCGGTGGGATTCGAACCCACGCAGTAAGGGGAAGGCTTTAGTACAGCCAATGCTCTAACCGCTTGAGCTACGAGGCCATGCTGGATGACGCGAGTTCAATCACATTTGGGTCAAGTTACCCGCCCAACCTACTGCAACGTCTGGAATCCACCAATTCTGATACAGTAAGTTGACTGCCCATCAGTTGACTTCACATCGGCTGCTTGGAATTGGAAGGCTCATCGATCGGCATGCCGAAAGGCATGCCTCAGTTTAGGCTACCAGTAAGCTATTTATCTAAAGGCGAAACCGATAAGTTTTATCCTAACGATGATCAAGCAAAAGAAAAAGGAGGGTAAGAGGGAAAGAAGAGAAAGAAAATGGTGAATTAGGGTGGGTAAACAGAAGGAAGAGATGGTCTAGTTTTGGTGAAGTGGTTGTGGCGGTGGCAGTGTGAAAAGAAAGATAAAATATCTGAAACAGGACACTTAGTTACTGAAAGTTTTAAGAGGTAGGGTCGGGTTCCGGTGTTGTAAATTAAGATATTATTTGTTAAGAGACCCATCAGTATATCTGGATCGACCACGCTAAGTGCATTTCAACTATGTTACTCTAAGGCACCAGGGGCGGGTAAAACAGTTGTAACTGCGAACTCTCGAATCCCCCATGGCTCGCTTGGTAGAAAGGGAGGATGCACATACAAGAACTTTTACGATGCGCATTAGGAAATCCTACATATAGTTCGGACTAGTAACGACGAGTTTTTTCGCCTAGACAGAAATGAAGGAAACAGTCTATGGATTGAGGTAGGCTCGTGTATACTGAGGAAGCGACCTCATTCAGCTGAGGTGGCCAGCGCGACTTCCTGCTGTGGTGCGATGACTGATTATCTTGAGAATTGTTGCCCATCAGTTAAAAATCTGATCACGTCGACATTGCGTTGATTTCTCCAATTACTTCCTAATATGCATATTGCGCGAAAGTCCTGCCTCACCGCTCTCTCATATAAACTCATACAAGCTGACCTAAAATTTGGAACCATTAATTTATAGGAGTGATATTAATTTTCTATATCTGAATCCTGCCCATTGAACAAGTAATAAAGATAAGGGAACACAAGACAAAACGGGGAATATACGCTTTGGCTAACTAGAATCGGAGGTCTTGGTAGAAGTTTACTTCTCATTTTTATATTCAGATGCAACCGCACCTTCTCGAAAATAAAAGACAAATGTCTACCTTTAGAAGCGTTGCTGAAATAAGATTGGTCACCCTCTGGACTTCCTGATCGACTTATGGGTCATGTCATTGTTGAGGTACCACCGTCGCCATTGGCGCTCACAGACTGCACAGCTCTTGCAAGATTCGTTAATATTGTGTCCCTTTGCTCTGGCTGACGTAACGGTGCCTCACCATCTGCTCAGCGGCTGGTGGACTATGACCTGTCGCACTTCATGGTTCATGTACTTTGCACCACACCACAACTTTCGGATTTATAGTACTGGACTGTTGGAGTCGTTTGTACCATGTACGTCACAGGCCAACGAGTACCAAAATTTACGTTATGTTCGTCAAGTCCGTCAGTAAATACAATGGAGACCTGGATCGATGCATTTGGCTCATTTGTCGTCTTCACATCTGGCGAGTCCCTTAGTGCTGCTCCCATGTAATGACAGCTGACATCGCGTGAGCACGAGACTTGGGGCTGAAGCCTTGGACGTTTAACCAGTTTCGCTCGAGGGGCAAGCCCAGTACATCTTGGTCGGTGGTAGGCGTATAACGGGATTTGTAGGGACATATAAGGCAGAAATGGCCCTTCTGGTCTTCAATACCATTACTGCCAAAGGCGAAGGCGGCTGGAATGGCCATTTCAGACTTATTAACCGCAGTCAACCAGTCTTGCTCAACCCCGAGGTGTGAAACCCCTGGGGCTCGATCCCGGGACCTGTTGGTTAGAAGTTCAACGCCCTAGCCACTGGGCCACGGCCTCGTCGTCCTGTCGACGGCGATCGGACATATGCAATGACAGAGGGACGTCCACTGATCGCGCTATGGACCTCACTTGTCCCGTTGTGCCGTGGGGCTCTTTCTCTCTCTCACGCCCAACCAGCAGCCGCAAAGCGGGGCACGTAACATGCGCAAAATAACTTAACGACAAAGACAAGGAAGACTGGAATAGCCATTTCTGGCTTATAAGTCGCCCTCAGTCAGCCATACCCAGACCCGAGTTTCGGTTCCTGACTAGTCTTATTCTTTACATGTCTCGTTATTCTTTGACACACTGAAATTACATACTATTAAGGGGCTTGTGAACCCAGGGAATGCCTTTGTCTGTTTTAAAAAGAAATTACTAACTATTATTCAAGTATCACCTATGATAAAACATTTTCAATTAGAAAGACATGAGCACTGTGCCCATCCTGTAACTAGTGTGGCTACGCGTATCTTTATGAAACCTCGATAACTGATATATTAAGCAGCCTTGATCTGTTATAAAAGGAGATTACTAACTACTATTCAGATATCTAGGCCGTATTTCAACTATTAATTTTCTAGTATTCTACAGTAAACTAAACTTTTATATGCCGGCTGTTCTTTGTAATAGTGACTACGTTTGTATGGTGAAATTCATTTCCCCTATTATTAACACAATCACTAGCTAGGCAAAACCTGCCGCGGGATGCGAGTTGTCGTCTCGAAAAAACGAAAAATAACTGGAAGCAGAACAGGTTACAAATGCATCCTGAAGAGAACTGGTACACCGATGCAGAAAAAAGGAGAAGTTGCAGAAAGCGTTTGAGAAGGTGATGCGGTCGTTAGACCAACAATTTTATTCGCCTGACGTTTCGGAGCCATCATCAGAGGCAGCCACGCATGAGAATGATGGACAAAATCCTCTCGATCGGAGCACTACGCTAATCACAGAGGCCGGTCCTGGCAACATTGTTCTCTGATACGGAATTCGTCGACATACAAACACCCCCCTTGCGCGCTCTAAGCTTGTGCTATCACACGAACAAGAGGGATCGGACCCGGAAAGTTTCAGCTGTTGCAATTACGCATACTATGGATGATAACCGGGCAACCAAAATAGCTGGCCAAGAATAAAGTCAAAACGGCATTGCACCTGCATATATGACCTCACCGTAAACTTTCACAATTTTTGTCTCACTCAATCAGACTGGGCGGCAACGGGAAATTCACAATGAAGAAAATAGGATAGGTTTCATGCTCAAAGCCATATAGGGGATTTTTGCAAGTTCCAGTCTTCGTAAATGAGTTATTGACCAAACTCTCCAAAATGTCAGGCTAACAATGAAGAGTCAGGTGTGGTTAAGTAGCCCCGCCTGAAGTAAACAAAGCCTAGCCACGTGTAATACGGGACCAGTCGTAATAGGAGTTTTTATACGTGGGGGTCAGGAAACGCACAGGCGACGAGGTTACGTAGTCGTGTGCAAAAGAAAGGCTATTGGGAATGCACGGTTGTACGTTGAGTGGTTGAGAAATAGTTGCCCTAACCCCTAACCCCAACCCTGGCCCCTGACCCTAACCCCTAACCTTAACTCCTAACTCTAAACCCTAACCCCAATCCCAACAGTATTATGTCCATCAGGTGGGGCTACATAATCACGTCTTACCCAATTATGCTGTTCCATCAGGTTCTCCTGCACTGAGGATTTCTCCAGGGAACTCGCCTTCTGCTAAATGTCTACCTATGTCTGTCTTTTTTACTGTCATCTTGTGCAAATATGGTAACTGCGGCAAACTCTCGGGCCCCATGAATTTCAGAATAAGATGAGTGAATATCCTGTTTAAAAATCTTCTGCTGACTGGTAAATTCAAGGGGTGATATCAGAAATTTGGTTTAACCTGACAAAAGATCTACGAGGGAAGCATAATAAGTTTTCGTAGGGCACGCGAATATGGACCTCCGCACTAAATGCGGCCATTCGCCAAATTCTAGTGAGTTAGGTTTAGGTTAGTGTTAGGGCTAAGGTTAGAGGTAATTTCAGTGTTAGTGTTACTTTTAGTTTGGGGTTTAGGTTATGACAGTTATTGTTAGGGTTCAGGTTGGGACGCGTTAAATGATACCCCCTGGATTTTAGCGCAAGACCACATCTCTTACGTTGGATGTCCATATTTCCATGTACAAGCTAAATTTTTTGGCAAAACCAGTTGACGCGGACGGCAAAGAGATTACATTTGCAAAAAAGATACTACCAGCAAAGGTAACTGAGTGGGTTTGAGGATTAACTTTTCAGAAGACCTACCTCAGTCATAAGTCCATAAGAACTCGAAAATCAGGGACGTAGGTGAAGGTTGCGGCAGTGTAGGGGGTGAGGCGTCCAAGCAAAGTAGGTGCTAAGGGCCGGAGTGAATGATGAGAACTGGCAATCGTTGTCTAGTTCTTGAGAAGCATGTGCACTGTGAAGGCCTCATGGAAACTGGTAATCGGAATTGTGACTGTGCATCAACAAGCCGCAGTGACCTTTGAACAGCCTCGAGTGACCAGTTTTTTTTAAATTCACAAAAAATATATTTATGAGACAGCCTATGGAACAGCAGCTGCCTTCACTTGTTGACAACTGACACTGCGTTGTCCGTGGTTGGATTGTACCGCGGGACACAATGTGCATTGCGGATGTTCCACCTGCGTGCACCTATGTATGGAAATTTGCAAAACAGGCATAGAAGGGTTAAGTGCACGGTCCAAAGGAACAGATTCCATAGGGCCCGGCCGCAGTGCGGATAAACACGAATTAGAATGTCAGCTCAGTCCGTTTATCGTAACCGATGATGAGGACGCATCCCATCCGCAAGTTTTGAGTTACCTTTCGAGGATAGTACCCGTTCAGCAATATAGTTTTCGGCCCTATTTCCGGTATTTCAGACAAGTTTGTTAAATTTATTCGCACACGCAATATGGCCCTTTCGTACCACAGGGAGCCTTACGTTAAATTCCCGGGGAAGTCCTATTGCAGCGTTATGACTCTATACCTAGTCTTAAGCCTTACATTAACCATAACTCTAACTGTTACGCTAATCCTAATCATATCCCCCTGCAATTTAGGCCAAATGTGTCTGTGATATGAGGGTCCATGTTCACGAGCCTAACTTTAATTTTCTTCAAGTTGGATTGTTTATTAGTGCATACCCAGAAGTTTCTTTGGAATAAAATACAACGGTGATTTGGAGGTGTCAGATGAATGAAGTTTTAGATTTAGTGATCCACCTTCCTGATTGTCACGGTATGCTCCTAGAATGAAAACATTCTGAAGAATGGATCATTGGAGTTTAAAAAAGAGTCGGAATCCAAAAATATATAATGATGATTTCCTGGGCATATGCGTAATTCGGTATTTGTTATTTACTCAAGCCTGAATGTCAACCATGCAGACTTTTCCAACTCACCAGAAACGTCTGCTCATTAAATTACCTTCTGGAAGCAAGGAGCACAGGGCATCTAGAAATCTTAAAATGCAGGTCATTTATGTGTTCAATGACTGCACGGAATTAGGGCATTTATCTTCTGGTAAATCAGTGTCCGCCGTTCCACAGAGCACAAACATTGAGGGCTGAGATGTGATTTCGTTGTAACACTGATTTCACCTTATTTACCCCCCTGTCCCCTCCACTACCCTCAAACACATTCTTTGTCTGTGGCACGAGTGTTTTGGTCGCCTCCTCTGCTGTCTTTGTGTCGCCAGTTTTTACTTTTCACTGCGGTGTTTTCTAACAACGACTTCCCAATAAGCAAAAGTATCTTAGCTTACTGAAACATTTCATCTAGAACAAATAATTACCGCTAGCGACATCGATGACCAAGTCCAGAAGTTTAGCGGGGCGCACCCCTCTCTGATGTTTACTGCAGAGACCGAGGCGTATAACGAAATCGCGTTCCTCGATGTCCTTCTACACAGACAAGAGGATGGATCCATCCAACGCAAGATATTCAGATAGAAAACCTGGACGGGACAGTACATTAACTTTCACAGTTTCGTTCCCTTTAATCTAAAACGAAATTTGGTCCAGGGACTGGCGGCTAGAGTGCGACGCATCTGCTCTCTTGAAACTGTTGAAGCAGAACTCCAGCAGCTGCAAAAGACGCTCCGCGAAAACGGTTATCCAGAGCGATTCATCCTCTGCCGTTGCAACTGCAGAGAAGAAAGACTTGTTTCTAAGACTGCCTTTTCTAGGAGACATAGCAAGCGAATTGGCGGGACGACGTCTTAGGACAACTCTCACGAGTGCCTTCCCCGCAGCGAACTTGCGCGTATTCTTCGCCAACTCCCCTCTACTACGATTGTGTGCAAAGACCGGCTGCTGTTACAGGCCACATCCATGTGTATTTATTCATTCACCTGCTCCTGTGAAGCGGGATATATTGGCCGTACAACGAGACGTATGGAAAAGAGAATACACGAACACATGCCTGCCTGGTTAGGTAGAAGTGACAATCGATCGATTTCGAGTTCAATTCTCGCACATCTAATTGATACAAACACCAAGCCGACGGGCACCGGCACACTACTCTGAAGGCCTCCTCAAACGGGTGCTGGCCACAGCTGAAACAGTGGTCATTCGACTAGCGAACCCAGCCCTCTGTTGACAGAAGACGCGGACACAAGCAGTCTGTCTGCCCTGGCCGACTCCAGACGGTGATCGCCCGCCGTCCCGACGCCCTGAGAGCGGTCACACGCACTTCCAGCGCTTACAATCTAACC